AAGGTTGAATGATTCAATGGAAAAAAAAAACGCCTTTTAAACGCCCAAAAAATTTTAAAAACTTTACATCGATTAGAAAGATAATAAACGAAAAAATTTTTAAAATAAAAAAAAAAAAAAAAAAAAAAAAAGGAAACAATAAAAACACAAAAAAAAACAACAACAAAAAACCACGATCTTTTTCTACTTTGTGATCGTATTTCTGCAAGCGTTTAACGACACTGTAGTGAATTAATTCCAATTTACAAAGAAGGGGATCTAGGATCTCTGAAAAGAATTTTAAATTTGAAAAACGCCAAGATACCTTTGCAAGTCCCAGGATGACTAATGAATATTCTTTTGTGAATAATATAAAAATAAAACAACAACAAACAACAACAGAAAAAAAACGATAAAAGAAAAAAACGATAAAAAAAAACCCAAACAGAAAACATTGATTAAGTTGCCCGGTTTAAACTTCCTACAATTTTTTTTGTGTAATGTAATCAGAATCGATTGTTGATATTTGGAGAAAAATGAAATGTCTGGAGACAGATTCTGCTGTGTAGTTATGGGACGTTTATGAGGACGACATTATGTATGATAGTGTCGGGAAGGAATTTGAAGTGCACACAAATCATTACACTTGATTTAATAAATTTCTCGGAGAAATTTCTTTCTTTCGGGGAAAATTTCAAAATTGAACATCGTAATCATCAAGTTATACGAAAGAGCGTTTTTTCGCGGATCACTTTTTTCAGGGCTAACACTTTCTGATGTAGTCATTAATATGTTAAGTTTTATAGCCCATTATTAAATTTTCTCTAACTTAAACAATCCACAGCTTTTGAGATGATATAACCTGAGCTGCAATTTTTTCTTATTTTAAAAAGAAAAGATTTATATTTTTTTTGGGGCCCCCATTATTGGGTTAATGTGAGGGGTTGTCCCTGATTTTGACATAAAAGCCCCTTAAATTTTTTTACGGGGTAAAAGTAAAAAATTAATATGAAATGATTTCTTTTAGCTATTTTGGGGATATAGTTTAAAATAAATGTGGAACAGGTTAAAAAAAAATTTAAAAAGGGATTTTTTAAAAAAACTTTAAAAATGTCTAGATTTTTTAAAAAATTAAAAAGAAAAAACATAGATTGTAATGAAAAAAAATTAAAAATAGAAATTTAGATTTCTAAAAGGTATTAAACGAATATGTTGCCAAAAGTTTTGCAAAGCGTTAAAATTTTTAGAATGGATTTGTTACGGTGGAACGTTTTCCCAAAAAGTTTAATAAATTTTTTTGCATTTTATATAACTAATATGTTTAAAAAATACTAAGCATTTCGTTTAAAAAAATGAATACAATAATCAAATGATTTTCTTCCCTAGAACATATAAAAATGCTAATATACGCTATTTTGTGTAGAATCCTCTTCCGGCAAACAATATATTGTTTGTTTTTCAAATAACAATATGTTTACAACTGTATGTACATGTTATCATATACATTTCTGATGCATGAATAGTTATTGTATTGTAACAGGATGTGAAGCTAAATAGTTGACGAAATATTTTATGATCTAGACAACTGTCAAATCACGTGGTGTGGTAAAGTTATTATAGTCATACCTCAATAGGATATTTTTTTACCTATTACTAGTAAACAAAGTACATTTTTTTACCAAAATGGAAAACAGGAATAAAGCGTTCCGTAACAAAATATCTTAACTTTATTATTTGCATTTTATTGATGATTTTAGCGCATCGCGCCCCCCTTTGTTGAGAAATATTAAAAATTTAAGGACTTTTTAAAAAGCAACGCAACGACATTTAGTTTTTGATAAAAAATTACTGCGATGATTTTGATTTAATTCAGCTAAATGAATATTTTGACAGTGGAAAGAGTTATACCGATCGAAAGAACTACAATGTTATTCAGTTTTTTAGCAAAAGGAAAAAAAAAACATGAATTAAAGATTTAAATCCTTAATAATCAGTTATTCAACTAACCCAGGGACTCTTCAGTAAATGTAAATCTAGGTAGTATTGAAAACATGGGCAAATTAATAACACATATTTAGTCACAAAAAATCAAATAATTTCAAACCTTGATTTTAATACGTTTTATCACTTGAAAAACCCATGTGTTAAAACCACTTACGCAGCATGAACTCTGTTTTAAGAGATAAACAATCTTGCGTTTATATAAATAAAATGTCAGAAAAATTGATAAAATGAAAAGTTTATCAGTTTTTAATGTTATAAATTTGCCAGTATTTTCATGCTTATAAATCAGATCTGATCTCACCCGTGTGAAATTCTGCAAGCAAAACAGTGATAAGCTATCAACATTTTCAAAACATGTTGTTCTAATTTAACTATAAAGAAAATGATGTTTTTCAAACTGCAATTTTCGAACGATTTTCACGCAAATCGGGCCAAGAATCTTAAAACAAAAAATCAATATTCATTTAAATTCGAGAGTATATTTTAAGCAGTTTTTTTTTTAATTATAAAAATCTGGAAATAAAGTGATCCCTCGGAAGCATTAATTCAAAACAAAATTACAAGAAAATTGCAAGACTCGGTTTGATTGAGGTCTGTACATGAGAGATAATGAATACAGTGCAACATCCCCACGCCCCCTAGCACCGGCTTGAGCGGTACTTCAAATTCTCACACTCAATAGTGCTGGCATCAATAATCCCGAAGGAGTTTTACTTGTAATATGTTGATGAGTGTTAGGCCTTTTGACCTCATTTTGAACTCCTTTACATGATTTAACACCATTGTGTGAGTAAATGGTGCTGCCAAGTTCCCTAAGTAAACAAAACTGTCAAGAGATTTAAAACGAGAAATGACGAGAAGTGAGTATGGGGTAAGAAATATATCATATCATGGATATTTTAAAGATCCTGTAAACACAATTTTTTTAATGGTTTTAAATCATAAATATGATGCTCAAATTAAGATTTATCAATTTTTGTAAGGTCCAAAAAGCATTATTTATAAAGGATATTACCGAATTTAACATTTCATTTAAATAAAGGGAGGTAATACAATTTTGTTATCTATAAAGTTTTAGTCAAATTTTTCAATAAGAAAATGAATACATATATTTAAATGGTTACATTTAATATGTACAATTATTTGCAGCACAATGATTTACATATTGTTCGGTGTTTGAAATTTGTTTTATAAGCATAATTATATACATAAATATTATTTCACTTAAGTGTGGTATACAACCCTTAATTACAACATTACATGATCTTTAGAACTGAGCGATACAAATGTACCAACCGATACTTTTGATCGATATTTATATACATTTCCTGTTGGTCACATATGGCTCAATGATTTTTTTCAAAAGTAAAATATTAAAATAAAAGACAGTTTTTAGCAAAATGCAAAGTTTTTTTTATTTCTACTGTTCACTGACAATTTACACGTGGAGGGGCATTATGTCTTAAACATACATTGTATCAACATGAGTGTAGTTTTACTAATTGTTCTCTCATACTATATTTAAAAATTTAATGATTATAATTATTATTTATTTGATATATTTATGTATCAAAGATATAACATATACACTTACATAATGCAATGTTGAAGAAGTCATGAAAATTATTAAAAATATGTTTTTACCCCTGAAATAACAAGGCAATATTATGTGCGCATGCAATGTATATGTGCATTTTTATCTTTAGATTTAGAACTGTAACAAATAGCATTCAAAAAGCAATAGAAATATTAAAATTGTTCAGTGAAAATCCTTCCGTGAAAAAGTTATCATTATAAAGTTTTCCCACAAACAATGACTGTAGGTAAGAATACGCTGTTCAACTAGGAAAATATGAGAAATAGCAAGCACATATAGAATAAGTAGTTTTACAGATGGAAATAATTATTTATGCTATATCCAACGGTGTAAAAGGTAAGTCGACAGGTAAATCTTTAAAAAAAAGCATTTAATTTTAAAATAAGAGTGCCAACCCGTTAATAAAAACGCTAAGATCACGTGACAGGAACTGTTGGCAATTGTCTATTTACGCTTCTCAATACGCTTCTCGCACGTTTTCTCCTTATTAAACAAGAAGAGGTGAATTTTTCCTTTATTAAACTGAAGAAGGCGAAACTGTAAAGTTAAAGATTATGCACATAAATAAACGGAAGGAATATTTGCAGGTCATATGATGTCTGTTGTTTGTCTACAGGTTGAATGATCGAGCCTTTCTATTGTCTATTCGTTTTGTTCTATTTAATACTAAGTTCTAAGATGCGCAATTGATAGTGGTTTCAAATTTACTTGTTTTTTTTTAAATCAATCGAGCTCCGGCTAGAATAATTACTTTTTAACTTAAACCAAACTAATAAAACGAAATAATAACCCAGGTGACGAATTAGAGAATAAGGTGAAAAAAATAAGTGATAAATTCTGGCGTTTCCAATGCCCCCATATTTAGCGTTTTGATCTGAACTCACATTATTTCATATGCTGTTTGATACTAACTGAGGTTTACCACCTTTAAACGTCTGTTAGATCTAATTGACAGTACAGGAACCTATTCAAGCCTGGCGTAAGATGTTACTTAGCAAGAGTGGTGAAACGTATAAATTTTCTCGCTCATTTGTCCTCAATCGGAAATAAGTCCCAGAAAACATTGCGAATGACATTTTTGCAATTTAATCATGTTAATGGAAACGAGGCGAACGTGGCTTAATGGAGAGATCCTTGTTGAAACATGCTAGTTGAAAATTATCTTTACAAAGACCGGAATTCGGAGCAGATGCGGGGAATATAGGCGGAAATCGATAGTGTGAATTTATAACCTAAATAACGTAGCATTTATCGGGATTTAAGTGTGAAAGAAAATTAAAAAAAATGTTATAGCGACAATAGCCGGGTTTTTATATAGCGTTATAGTATCATTAGTTTTAATACCCTTGGGATCTAGCTGTGTATAGATTCTTCATTTTTCTTGACATGGATATTATTGGTTTTTCCAACCATTGACTCTACCATCGTTTTACAAAAAGCGACTGTTTCCTTTCGGTATTGGAATAGAAGTAACACTATAGAAGAAGTCCGGGAAATGCAAATACTAGATTTACTGTGTACACATGATTTTCATGTAAATATCTGATTTATATTGGAATATTTCCAACTGAGATTGAATATCTGTAAGTATTATTGTATTACAAACGTCGTTTTTAAGCTCGTTATGATTTGTTAATAAACAAAGACTTTATTTTACCAATTTCATGATTTCATTGTATAGGGTATGTCGTTCTGAAAAACTGATATATTGTTTTTAAAACCAGGATTTTTTCGTTCTCTATCTAAATGAACATGTCCTGGTTTATGAACGCGGATCTGCTTAATATGAATAATATTAATTTTTGATTTTAAACACCCTCGTCTGTGTTTAAAGCAAATATATGTATTTTTTTTTACTGTGCTTAAATCCCTCCTGGTACCCGCTGGGGGGGAGGAAAAAAGAAAAAGGTTTTTCTGACTTCAAGTTTTTGTTTTGTTTCTAACATCCCCAACATTATTATTTGAATGACAAGTCGACATACAATATTTTTCTATTTTAATAATAATATACATGAGTGTAGATTAAAAAATATAAAATGAAAAAAAAATAAACATTGAAAACATAATATGAAAAAATATTAATAATGTTCAAGCTGTAATATGATTTTGTTCACTTAAAGTTGTTTTGTTTATGAATCGATTTGAATAAAAAAAATTAAAATATAACGACCCGGGGAATCAAAAAACAGTTTATTTAAAAATTTTTTTCCAAGCGAAAATCACATTCATACTGAATTTAAAGGACATATTTCTTTAAGTAAAACGTCAAAAGGCTAAATTCAATATTTTAAAGTTAAAAAGAAAAAAGCAATTGTTCGTTAGTAGCAAATTTTCACAAATTGCCACAATTTTTGTTTTAAAGTTACTATTTTAATTTAAAAAGGGAAATTCTGTTGCAAGGTACGCAATTTCAAACCCACAAAATTAAAAATTTGAAACACAAGGTAAAAACGTGAAAAAAAATTTAAAATGTCTTAAAAATATATAGTTTCTTTTTTTTAGAATGGGGGGGGGGGGGGAGTGGGGGGAAAAAAGCTAGTTTAAAAAAGTATTTATTTACGATTTATATAAATGTATTGGTTCATGTACTTATGCAATTGTCACCCTAGTTAAAAGCTTCAATAAATGTATCCGTAGCTTTCAGAAACAGGTGTTTTACAGAAGCTATAAAATCTTCAGTACGTACAATTTGACATAAAGTTATAGAAAGTTATTGGTAAATAAAAAAGAAGAAAGAAAAGAAATCAAAACGCAAAAACAAACAAAATATATTTAAAAAAATAAATATATAAATAAATGAATAAATAAATAAATAAATAAATAAATAAAATAAATACATAATGAAATAAATAAAAAATAAATAAATAAAATAAATAAATAAATAAATAAATAAATGAATAAATAAATAAATAAACGAATAAACAAATATATAAACAACAACAAAAAACAACAACAACCCCCCCTCACCCCCCCCCCCCCAAAAAAAGAAAAAATCACCAACAAAAGACAAAAATACCCAAACACAAACAAAACAAAAACAACAAAAAATAACAACACAAACATAAAAAACAACAACAAAAAACTCGCTAACAGTCGAGGAGAACTCAGCAATTTTGAGGTAATGAAGTAAAAAGATCTTCTTGTTGTTTTTTTTTTTGTAAAACATTTTGGCCAAAAATTCCCCTTCCTACAGGTTTCATCTGAACTAAATGAGAATAAACGCGCGTGAAAAAATGTTTATTCATATATAATAACTGTGTGGAAGGCTTATGTAAATAGTGTATAGTGTTACATTTGCAAAATGAAAACGCATCTGTTGAGATAACTCTTTATTCTGTTTTGATAAAACCTACCTGTGTTCGCTGAGCTTTTACACAACAGGTAGTATGATATATATTTTATGTTTTAAAAGCACAGGAATATTAATTATTTATATTTTGTATTGTATGAAAAGAAAGTTTTTATCCCCCATAAGTTCTGTGTATAATTATATGAGATGCATTTTGCTAGCATAGTTTGCAATGTTTGAAATTATGTATACGAAACACTTAAAATAAATGAATAATATTGAAGAAAATGTAACATATAAAGTCGGCACTCTTACATTTAGTTTGCACTTTTAAGGTACATGTATATATCTAGAAGGACGCAACACATATAGATTATTATATAGCCATGATATACTCCATTATTAATCTCCAATGTTCATCAACAAAATGGAGCTATAATACTGCTAAGCATGGAAACACTGATTTAATATGTTTCTGCGATTTATAAAAAAATCTCCCACATTATTGGCATCACGTAGAGATAGACTGTTATTCGCCAGCTACCTGCTAACATTGGTATATTTTTGGATTAAATCAAGTTTTGCTATTCCGTTTGAAGTTACGAAACAATCCTGACTGGTATTTCAAGATACATATCAATTCTGCATCGCATGTTTAGCTAACGTTTTAAAAACAATTTATCTTCATTGCAGTAAAAGGGCTGCCCACAAGTTGTTAGAATCCATTTAAAAGCTTCCATTACTTTGTAGAAGGTAATCGCACTAATGCAGTAATTAATTGAATAAAAAACTAGAGCAATATTTACAACCCCCTCTGCCTTAAAAAAAAAAAAAGAAAAAACACGACCAAAAAACAACAAACAAAAAACAACAACACCCAATAACAGCAAAATAAAACAACAATAACAACAAAGAAAGCACCAGCAACAACCCTTGATAAAAGAAAACAAACACCAACAAAACGAATCAACACTATAGCAAGTTTTACAACAATAAGGCAAATAAAAAACCCAACAAATCTTCCTTATCACAATTTATAGAGGAATAATTCACATGGATTTCTGATGCATTCTGCCTGCAGAACGGTTTAATGAAATGAAACGATATATTAAAATGGACCTCCGTCCTCTGACCTCCATCCTCAAACCTCAATCTTCATACCTCTATCATCAGACCTAAGATAAACCCACAATAATTTGGTCATTTTCGAGTACAATTACTTGGAAGAAAAAAGCAGCAAAAGAAACTTGTTAACGAAATATTTCGCTTCCATCCAATTATAGAATGAGAAAATAAATACTAATCAGTCGCCCTCTTGGTCGCAAGAGATTGACATGATTGAGGAAATATCTCAAGGGAATTAATATTGCAACTGGTAATGCGCTTTGATTAAGGACAACATACGAACTGGGTATTTTATTGACTTCAGTTTATAACTCTGTGAATGAACAGTGGGACATTCCAAGTATTGAGTCAGTATTCATTACCTGCACATCGTCAGTGCGAGATGAATCTTAATGGTCATAACATCTGAAAGTCAAATTAACAGAGTTATAATTGGTACTTTGAGACAACTGTGCTGAAAATGTTTATTGAAATAACGTTGGATAGTAGCGAACTTTTGCTTTTTTAAAGGTTGAATAATTATGTTATGATTGTCCAATCAAATGAATTAAATTTGAAAATGAAATTTTCCGTCAATAAAATACATAAACAACCAGGAAACCACTCAATACCTTTAATCTACCGAACCGCTCTCTATATGTGTTTTAGTAAATCAGGCGATTCATTCTAAATCTTCTAATTTTAGAAACGAACGTCAACTGGCGCGTTATAAATAACCCTCGGGGCGCTGTTTTGAAGAAGCCTTAACGGTTATATTACGCACTTTTCAAAGATGAAATAATTGTAATGCTTAATTTGAAACAACAATGAATATTTGGGGTTTTCTTTCAAATAAAAATAAAGCGGCAGGCCGCTTTTATACCATACATGTTCCTGATTGCATAACTTACTATACTTTAATACCATACATGTCCCTGATTATACAGAATATATCAGATGTGATGCAATACTTTTATTACTGTTGTAGTTTAAATGCGATGCTCCAAATCAGATGTATCGCCAATTATAACACATATTAAATTACAAAATGTTCTTTATTCAATCAATTGACTATTACTTTTAAATGAATAATGTAAAACTATTTGTTAACAAAATTTATGCACCAAGCATATTATTAGTTTTTAATTTCAATGAACATGAACAAAAATATTCAGCGAAACCACTGATATATTGTCTTATGTTATTAAAAGAAAATCTTTAGTTTTAACACAATCATTTTCTAAATAAATGAAAAACACATGATCCGCACCTTCGGGCTCAACACATGTTAGTAAAACAAATATATGCCTCTAAGAATCTTGGGGGAAATATAATTCATTTTAATCATCATGGAATTAAAGTTGAAGTTTTTATACATTCAATCAACACCACAATAATGAAAGTGTATTTCTACATATCTAATATCCTTGTACAGTCTTAGTAAATTTAATGAAAAAACAAACATTTCGTGCAATTTCGATTTTCCTATCCCCCCAATCATCTATTGAAATCTTTACATTATTTTTTCGTAAAAGTCTTCAAATCGACAGGAAATTTGATTCGATTTCCGATTTTCATAATCAATTCAAAGTATTATGTCTTTTCTATTCTTATGTCTTGTCATTGTCGGTTTAACCGCCGTCACTTGCCTTGTAAGCCTTTGAAATCGACGTTTAGCAGTATTTCATTTCAAATTGATTTCTTTGTACAAGGTAGCAAAGAGAATGTATTTATATGTACAGTTCTAATGATGGCCTAATGAAGTTCCGGTATACTTCGTTTTGTTGTTTCCGGCAGTTGCCGACGATTATAAGTAAAATGGTTTTAGTTGTCAGAATGTGGCAGGAATAAGGAAAAATTCTTTCACACTGACAATAACAATGACATATGGTTCTTGTTTCTTACTGCATTGTGTCCTTGACATTGTGGGAAACTTAGCATTGTTGATAAATAGTATAGTATGTTGTTTTGAATTAACCTTTAAATGTATAACACGATTTGAAAGATAATATCGTACATAAACCTTTATGTTTTACATTTGAAATACAATATTAATAATGAAATATCTGAAATGAAAAACAAAAACATGAACTTCCTTTGAAAAAATGAACTTTTTTTCTGATAAAAACGAATGATTGTGTATCGACCCAGCATCATGACAAAATTAATCTGTTTCGTGAAAAATAATATTCCATGTTTTCATCAGAGGGAAAAAAAGGAAATCCTCATAACATTTTTAATAAATAAAAATTATTGCAACACAAATCTCATCGTTAATCAATAATCAAAAGCAAGTTAAAATGTCTGAAAAAATTGGAAAAACTTTCAAAGTATTTTTAGAAAAATTTTGCGTGTTATCATTAAGAAAAATGAATGGTCCTTAAGCACCCAAAATTTTATTTTTAGATAAAAATCAAATTACCAATTGGAGTGTGTATCAGCATCAATGATGCATCTAAAATGTAGCATTTACATTTTAACGTTTACTGTAAATCCATTGCCAATTGTGATTCGCCGATAAATTGAGAATTTCTGCCTTACTTGCTATTCAAGATTTATTCACGTTTCAATAGTGCCAGTTGAGACATATTTTACATTAAATAGAGCTTTTCGTTTTTATTTACATACTAGTTATGTTATTCAAGGTTCATCCGCCTACAAATTATGCTTTTACAAAATTTATCTAATAACAAAAGTAAACAATCTATTATTGATACAATCACTACTTAAGCGCTTTATCAAGCAAGTTATATAATCAATAAATAACGATAGAAGGTCTAGGAATATGCACCATCTTTCATTCCTTTTTTATGAAGTTAATATTAGAGATAATTGACAAGATTACTATCTATTCATTATTTCTCCTAATGAAATGGTTTATAGTCGTCTCAGACATGTCAGAGCTGTCCATGTGGTGTAATAAAAAGTCTGAGTGTAAATGTTCTTGCAGATACTTGCTCGGAAACTAACAGATTTATTGCAGGCCAACTGACTGGCTGTTATTACATTTTACTATGATTCTTTCATAGAATAATTATGATGTTTAAAGTTACAATTTCTTCACATTAAATATATATTTTCAAAGATTCGCGGTATGAATTTAGGATTTTGATTTTAAACGACACCTTCTCAACCCAACGAATTCAAGATTCAACTTACATATTTACGATATTCACTTCATGACCATATCTTCAAGAATCTATGTTTTTGAACTTCACGATTTCATCTTCGTGAATTCACGTTTGCACCGCCTCCGTGATCGAGGGGTTAGAGTCGATGACTTCTAATCCAGTTACCTCTCTGGCGTGGGTTCGATCCCCGGGATATGCTTTGGTAGTTTAGCACGGAGGAAGGTAGTCTAGTACTGGTGTAACTCTCTAGGAACGATGGTTAGGAAACTAACCACCTAAATGACTAAAATACTGTTTGGGAAAAGGCGTAAAATGACACAAACATACAAAAAAAAAATCTCGTTTGCAACTTTACGGTTTCGGCATCACGAATTACAATATCAAATTCAAGTGTTGAACTTTATACTATTACGCATTCATGATCGTAAATTCCTGAAAATTGAAATTCAGAACTCCTGAAATGGAAATCGTCCAAAACGTGAATTAGTTGGGAGATAAAATCGTAAATTCATGAATATTGAAATTGTGAAAGTGTAAATTCGTGAAATTTGAAATTTTATTATCTTTAAATTTATAAAGTCGTGAATTCGTAAAGTTGAAACGATGAATTTGTGAAATTAAAATGTCGCCAGAGGCCCTTCGTAATATTATTACTCAGAAAACTTCATTGGCTGAATTAGAATCGTTTCAGTTGATTAGACAGGAATTCTTGTAAAGATATAAAACGATGTTTGACAAAGATTAATTTGTACTATATTTATAAAGAAATAATTAATCTGGTTGCAAGGCAAACTACGTGAACTAAATTTAGATCTTTTTGCTCATTGTCTGCATGTTCTTTATGAAGTTGTTGAAAGAAAACTAATTTAGCCTTGCAAAATTATTATTATTTCACCTATCTTTGATTGTTCTATAGCATCTTAGACTATGCAGCACACGATGTTACAGTAACCAGCATAAATTTTCACATTTGGTAAAATAATTATGAATACAAAATTAAAGCAGGACGACTAGCTTTCAGAAGGTTTTTAGTTTTACTCAAGAGCCTGATATAATGCATGAAGGGTTTGACCTTTGGTCTAACTCAAACAGTACAAATTGAAAGTCGCCATATGACATTTTATAGTGTCAGTGAGTAAGCAACTAAATAAAACGAGCAGACAAAGTAAATTGAAACATTAATTTTGCCTGATGTTTAACGATCTATTTCTTTTCACTGGAGCAATGCATTATGCAAACCAATATTGCATTACATTTGCATTTGTGCTGCCAGTGCATTGATGTTTGTTTGAATAAAGAATTTATTTTAATATTTATTGTCGTTACAATTACAAAATAGCTTTGACCAAGTGGAAACTGAAACCGCTACGTAGTAATTTATATTAACATTTTGTATTGATATCTTTTCAGCTAAAGTGAAGATACGAAGAGGACTTCCATATTGCCTGTAGATGTCTGTTGTGCCTGTTGTTCAGTAATGGAGTAAACAATTTCAGCAGATGTAGGAGTTTTACATAGGTAAGAATGTGTCAATATGACATGCAAGTAAAGGAATACATGTTTCTATAGATTCGTCATATAAACTAATAAATTAATAAATATAACCAAACAAAAACCAAAAAACAAGGCTACCAAACGAATGTCTATATTGTGAAAATTTCTAAAGTTATATCATATTTCGTATCATGCAACGACTGCTACTTTCATTACAAGTAATGGTCGTTATTGTTTCCATTTTTGTAAATTTAATTCATTAAAACGATTCCAATATCCACCCTTTAGTCACATTGTCTTCATACAAACAGTAAATCACAAGTTAATCAAAAGTCTAAATGCAAAAATACGCAAACGCTTAATGGTTTTGAATACATTTCAGATTCCGATACAATTTGGGCAAGGATGATCCAACAGTTTCAAAATATGGCGCCGTCGTTGTTTGCAATACTGCTGACGATAACAAATCTTTGCTCAAAAATGCAAAACATTCGAGCAGAGGATACGATAAATCCTCCTTACATAATTGAAACGCATATAAATGGGCCACTCACCACCGACAACAAAATCAGATTGGAACCTTTAGACAATAATGCTATCTTTGAAATTCCCGTGAACATGCTTGAAATATTCTGGCTAAATAGTTCAATTCATTCTATTTCAATTAAATGGGCACTAGATCCTAATTATAACCTTACAGGGTTCGTAAAAGACTCGGTGGTAGAATATTTCCCAAAAGGTGGACGATTTACGTCACATCCTTTATCAAGTGACGTCAGAGAGTATACATTTGATAATTTAGAGGCTGGAACAATATATACTCTTTGTGTTCATATGTTAGAGATATACGGTGAAGGAAATTATAGCTCGATTAATCATTCAAAATGTGTTAAAATCAACACCATAGATTATATACGCAGAGATAGTGTGGTGATAATGATAATTACTTTAGGATACTATGCATTTATGGGACTTATAGGGTATACGCAATGGAAACGTCGGCTGATGAGGATAAGAAATAATACAAAAAAACAGATATAGCGAACCTCCGAGAGGAAAGAAATGAAAATCAGAATGTTTGTGTAATGCGATGGCGTGATTTAGCGGAAAAAGAACGCCTTATGTCAAATCCCGGACGTTCTATAGAAGGAGATACAACATAGGTGTTGTCGATTTTAGGAATGTTTACGTCTCGTAGGACAAGAATTGTAATACACATGTACATGTATTTGTGTTTTTCAAACGAGTTTCCAAGATCTCTCTGTTCTGAAAGACAGTCAATGTTAACATTGCATACCTACGTCATATGTGAAAAATTGATTTGCACAGCATATGTTTCTTTTGTAACAAAAGGCATGATTGGCAAGTTAAATATTTAGCATAAAATCAAATGTGATGCAAGGCTTATTTTCAAAGGGATTACTACATGCAGATGTAACATGCAGAAAGCTTTAGGTCAACAAGGTCAAGGTTGTTTAGAAAATGACAGTAAATAGTACCAGGAAACCTTAAAAATCAGTGTCTAGTTTGCCTTTCGTTATGATGAATCCAGTTGCTCTTCTCTGAAAACATCATAACATCATAACATTTCATATGTGTTCCAATGTTTTCAGTTTAACACCCTTTTCTTCTTTGCTTTTCAAAATTGAAGTGCCCCTTGTGGTTGATGGGTTGCTTAATAGGATTTGCTCGTTTATCCCTACGTAATTTTAGGAGGCGACTAAATGGGTTCGAATAAATGAAGTCTATACATCTCTTAGCTCCAGAAGGTATGGTGGTTTTTGCCCTGGTGTTGCTTTAAGTTTGTAAAAAAAACCTGAGGATAGCCAAGATCCTTTTTTTCTTGATTCTAACATATGACATCAAACCAAACAAACAAACAAAACGAACAACATAAAAAATGACGCACTCCAATTTAATCGATAGTCCAGTCAATCATTTCTCATAACAGTTAAAAATAAACACAATACCGTACTTCTGCCTTAGTGGAAAGTTTGCATTATTCAGGGCTTTACAATTTGTACTACATGTATATTAACGTAATAAATGTAAAAGTAATTGTTTACGGTATGCTAATTTGCTTAAAATTTAGCATTAGAAAGGCGGTGCATTAGATTTGTTAAGTGTTAGTGCTTAAAAGTTACTGTTAAAGTGGACTTTAAAATCATTGCTCTTTGTAATCTGTTATTCTCATTGGTAAATGAAAGGTATCATATGTTTGTATTTGTATATTTTGCTAACTTGTTTCAATGTAAAACATTGTGTTCTCTAGTATTATAAATTACGAAATTATTAAGAAATAAAATTGATCATATTTATTGTTTTATATGATATTTCTACATTTAGATTTATGTAAATAAACAAAAGATTTATATGCAAGGCGTGTAATGTCTAATTAATACTTCAAAGTTGATAAAGTCATATAACATGAAAGCAACAAATAAAAACGAAAGGACACATCAATTCACATCATTTTGATATCTAAACAAAGATTACATATCTCCCCTAACACATTTTAACATATTTTATTAGCAAACATCAACGCATGTTTTATCCATTGAGCATTTTTAAGAAAAACCCCAATCGGTTATCGACTGTTGTATAGCTTTAGGAAAATGTAATAATGCTCAAGTAATTAATATTTTTTTTAAATGATAATGAAGGGTATTGTGTTTTACGTATTGACAGTCCCTATATGAAAGGTCTTTTGCATCTATAGACCGATCCGCTTTTGTGTGTGTTACCTATTGCAAATAATCGTTTATGTACGACCATACATAATTAAGTTGTCACAAATCTAACGAATTTATAACAGAAGTTACTCCATAAATTTACAGCGGCCGTGTATACAGTGTATTTAAACGTAACAATCTATTGAAAAGCGACAATTCAAACGTACAGTACTATAAGGTTACTTCATAGTTTTATTCTAGATCAATACGGTTTTTTATACGATTTTTAGTATCATTAAATGATGCATAAAGTCACCCTAAAATTATCTTAAAATTTTAATTCTCACCATTCATTCATTTGAATTCAATAGATTGTTATAAGAAAGCAATATATTTGTTGAACTGTAAAATGAATTCTTAATATGTTAAAAAAAAACATATATTTAACTGGCAATCAGACATGAATGTTTATAACAGACCTCTATGCTACCAGTGTTCTCCCAGGTCAGTCGGCACATCCATGCCTTCACCTTATTATCTGTACTGTTCGCTTTTTTTTTAACTTTTTCATCTGAGTGATAAATGATTTGTCAAGATTGAAAGACAGACATGTATATTTAAAGGGATACTCAGGCAAATTAATGACAAAAATACTCTCTAATCAGACCCACTTGGGCCGGGTTAGAAAACCATCATTTAGTACTTTATAATTTGAAAAGATTAGTTCCTGTGACTGTCTAGCGTATACATTTTGAGAACATCAACAGAATAATGAAAGAAACATTTAAAACGAGATGGAGATTTTAACTGTGTCTCCCTTAAAGGTATAAAGGATTGAAATGGCTTGAAATTATGTATTCGTAACACTTCAAAATAAATGAATAATATTTAAAAATGTGACATATAAAGTCATTTAGCTTGCACTTTACTATATACTTTTATATATATATATATCATATTTACAAGGATGCCACACGTATAGATTATATATAGCCATAATATACTCCATTATTAATCTCCCATGGTCATCAACACATTTATGGAGATATGATACTGCTTAACATGGAAACACTGTTTTAATATGTTTCTGCAATTTATAAAAAACTCTCCCACATTATTGGCATCACGTAGAGATAGACTGTTATTCGCCAGCTACCTGCTAACATTGGTATATTTTTGGATTAAATCAAGTTTTGCTATTCCGCTTTGAAGTTACGAAACAATCCTCACTGGTATTTCAAGATACATATCAATTCTGCATCGCATGTTTATCTAACGTTTTAAAAACAATTTATCTTCATTGCAGTAAAAGGGCTGCCCAAAAGTTGTTAGAATTCATTTAAAAGCTTACATTACTTTGTAGTAAGTAGTCGCACTACTGCAGTAATTAATCGAATAAAAAACTAGAGCAATAGTAACAACCCCCTCCGTCCTTACATAAACAAAACAACAACACCAAATAACAGCAAAATAAAGCAACAATGTCAACAAAGAAAGCACCAGCAACATCCCTTGATAAAAGAAAACAAACACAAACAATTCGAAACAACACTATAGCAAGTTGTACAACAATAACGTAAATAAAAAACCCAACAAATCTTCCTTGTCACAATTTATAGAGGAATAATTCAAATGTACGAGGGATTATCCAAAAATTCGTGGACTTTTTAAATATCTTTTGAACGTCAACGTGTATTGTAATGAAATTTTATCAGCATGCATTGTAGAATATTATCACACGTTTTGAAACGAACAGTTAACTGCGTCTATAAATTATGATTTTATATTGCTTTTAAATAAGCACATACATGGCACCCGGCGCACGGTAGAAATACGCAGTTAGTCATCGTATATTTTTGCTAAAAAAACTACTTGTTAACGTAGAAAACCCGCTAAACATCGCATATTTCTTCTATGGTGTCATTTAAGTAATTCGTTAAAATTATGGACGTCATTTCCGTTATTTTGTGTTGGAATCGCCAGAAACGCCAGACGACGATATTGTTAACTACGAGAAAATGACGGACATTCAGAAATTAGAAAATAGCGTGATCATAGAAATTTGTTGTAATTTGGGAATGACACTAACAAAAACATTTGAAAAAAAAAACCCTGCAGGCGAACAGAGAAAATAAAATTTCACCATCATTAGTGTTTAAGTGACATAAAAAATTAGTGATGGACATTACTTTGTGAAGTAGTAATGGTTATTGACTGCATAATGTTGAAGCATAAGTTGGACGTTAAATATTATGACGTTGACGTCAATAACTTTTTGGAGTGCGCCACTGTCGCTGCCATGTGTTTATGTAAAATTAAATATTGTTGTTATATAAGAGGCGGCTACTAACATGATTTTTCTGTGTTTATTTGTTATTTATTCTTCTAAGCAAATCAATATCTCAAACATATTTTACGCTACAAAGAAAGTCCACGAATTTTTGGATAAACCCTCGTATTTCTGATGCATTCTGCCTGCAGAACGGTTTAATGAAATGAAACGATATATTAAGATGGACCTCCGTCCTCTGACCTCTGACCTCCGTCCTCTGACCACCATCCTCAAACCTCAGTCTTCATACCTCTATCACCAGACCTAAGATAAACACAATGATTTGGTCATTTCGAGTACAATTACTTGGAAGAGAAAATAAGCAAAAGAAACTTTTTAACGAAATATTTCGCTTCCATCCAATTATAGAATGAGAAATAAATACTAATCAGTCGCCCTCTTGGTCGCAAGAGAATGAAATGATTGAGGAAATATCTCAAGGGAATTAATATTGCAACTGGTAATGCGCTTTGATTAAGGACAACATACGAACTGGGTATTTTATTGATTTCAGTTTATAACTCTTTGGATGAACAGTAGGAC